CATCAAGTGAGTTGCTTTGGTTTGCCTCTAGCTTGAGAAATCAGAACACTTCATATCCCCCAGGCTTGGCCAGGCAAGGATTTGCTCTTTTGGAAACTGTTTGCAATTATATTGCACCATTTCTCAGTCTACATCAAGTGTCCAAGGCATGAATTTATCAAAGACCGGGTGAGGCCTGTGCCAAAAAATTGAAGACTCACTTTTTCCAGCTGAGTCACACTGGCAGATAAAGCTTAAAAAAATAGCAGAAATAGCAGCAAGGCCAAAATAAAACCCCTGAAGTTAAATCCCTGATACTGCAAATAGGTCTTCAAGTTTGAACAGCTATGGTTCTTGAGCTCTTTTAAGAGAGAGGGCTGGCATCTCAAAAGCTGGTCTGCTGTTGCTTTTCTTAGCTGAACCCGTCAAACTCATCACTCGATAGCTCTTTTACCTCTTCCCCCCCCCCCCGCCGCTTTTGGTATTTTTCCCTCCTCCCCCCCCCCCCGATGCTTTGGATATTGTGTATTTTTAGCAGCTCTTTTGGGTGCTATGTGGTATTTGAGAGTTGGTTTTGAACATATGCTGGTAGCATGAAGTACTGCTCACACACATCAGTGCCAGTTACGTGGCTGTGACGGGGTTTTTGGTTTAAACAGTTTGCTTAAAACTGTACTACAGGTGAGCCTTAGAGGTAAGAAACCATACAAGTCCCCAAAGCTTCCTCTTAAGTCTATGTGCACTGTGTAACTTGAGAGATTTTTATCTGAACAATGTGGCTTTTCGTGCCCAAGCAGAAACTTCAGCTTCTGGGAGAGGAGGTGATTGGCACCACCACCTCCCAGTAAAAAGGTTACTCAGTGTTTTATTGCAGAGCTCTTGGCTGCCACCCTGGGTGGCTGTTTCTGCAGCATCTGCTGAGGAAGTTCCTCGTGGACAGTACTGGCTTAACAGCTGCCTTAGTAAGGTCTGAACAAGCTTACCTTCTAAGTGCTTAGTGAAAGCTGGCTGATTATTCTCCCCTGTCAGGGCAAACGGGCTGTTAAGGAATTAAGATGTTCTTCAGAAAGGTAGAAACTTGGTGTTGACATACTGATGTATAAAACATAATGGTGTAGGAACACCTCTCGGCCTCTAAATTGCTGAATTAGCTTGTAGAATATTAAGGAACAGCTTCCTAGCTCCTTAGATGGATTTGTTTATTCTAAAACATGCCTGATTGATTGCAAAGCACTACAGAGTTGCACTGTGCTACTCACTTTTGACTTGTTATAATTAAAGTTTTGTTTATGGCTGGGAAAGGTGTGCCACTGCCCTCGCACTGGAATTTGAAAATCCTCCCTACAGACATATGTCAACGTGACCTGCTGGATTTTAATAGTCTGGGGAGGGAAGATGACAGAAGGAAGGGCTGTGGCAACGATGGAAGCTGATTAATAAGGATGTGGAAAAGTATTGGTGTTTGCTTACTAATGAGGTGCACAGGGAACCTCCCCAGGCTCAGGCAGCACATGGGGATCAGACAGAGTCGCCAAGCACTGACTGCAAGGAGAGCAGCAGGAGCATCGCCTGCTCGCTACTGCTGAAGGCTCTGAAGCAAGTTCAAGTGGCTCCAAGAGCTGCGGAGGAGCAAGAGGAGGCAGTGGGGTGCGATGAAGGAGCTGTCTGGTAAACACGAGTGGCCGCCAAGTCAGATGACTTGAGCAGGAGAGCAGTTAAGGATAGCAGGACACCAGACTGCTAAGGAAGGGGATGAGTCAGAAAAGGGAGAACAAGAGCAACTGGTTGAGGAAAAAGTAGAATGCGGTTGTGAAACAGGGAGCTGGTAGGACAACTGTTGGGTGACAGGTTCTTATTTGCTCTGGGACTTGGTAATCTTCAGCTTGGATCATGAGGCAGGGACAAAGACAACAAGGTAGGAATTTTTCCTTTGCAAGTTTCACCTTGCTTGAGAATGTAGGCAAAACCGAATAGTGTTGTGGCTTCAAGAAGAAACTGCCTATCCTGGGCACCAAGGAGGGCGATAGCTCCCTGCTCAGTCAAGAGTTGACGGCAGGAGATGCAGCAACCTGACTAAAGATAGAAGACTGAACATCTGCATTTGTTAGAAGTCCAGGAGGTTTGCGGATTGAAGGGCATTGACATTGAAACATCATAGTAAAAATAACCACTATTAAATGGTTCTTTATTCTGCAGAGTGGTTGCATTGATTGCTACAAGCAACTGCCTCCACCAGGAAAAATCAATATTTTAAAATGGGTAGCTTGTTCCGAGATGGATTTGTGTTTGTAGGAAGTGTTTAGGTAATGCTGACTTGTTTAGAATCAACTCTGTTTAGAGCATCATCGCACAAGTCTGCCATGGTGAGAAGGCCAGACTGTGGAGTTAAATGCAGCTATGTCTTGAGTTATAATTATACTCTTCAACTGTAGTCAGTTGTAAAGTGTGGGCACTAAAGGCTCAATAGCAACACGTGGCCTTAGTAAAGCTGATTTATGACATTAGTCCCAAAGATTCTGGAGCTTTGATCCAGCCTTGTGCTCTTCTTACAGACAGCTTGTCTTAGGTTGTTTTTGATCCCCCTTTTTAGAGGCAGGAAGTCCAAAACACTTGCCTGTAGGCACTTTAAAGCTTCAAGAACGGTGACCCCAAGACTGCCGCACATGCCCAGCTACAGAAGTCAAGCTGATGTGATTTCAGGGCTGGATCTAGCAAAAGTATGACATGATGTTTATGCAGTGACTTGTGCTGGAGCTCTTGGGAGAGAAAGACTATAGGAAACTTTGAGGAACATTTGAGGAGGATTAAGGCAGCTGCGGGTCACTGATTTGCTACAACTTTGTTGTATTCAGTGCATTCTGAACTAAAAGGTTGGGTGATGTGGTTTAATTACCTTTCTGTTCAAATCTTTATTGTTAAATCTTTCCATTCTTCCCCTTGGGAAAAAGTCCTCTAATACTTCTGCAGTGCTTTTACTCCAGAAACATCTGAGGTTAGCAGCCAGCATGTTTTGTTATGATATAAATAATCTCTATTTCCACTTTTTAGATGTGGGAAACAGGCTTGGGACTAGACTGGCCCTTAAAGATATGAGTGAGTGACCTGCATAAAACAGGGAGTTTTATTCCTTTGACTTCATCCATATTGCAATGTAAAATAACTTCTTATTCTTTGGCTTCCTAACTGCAGCTTAGTTTTACTAATTGAACCCCAGCTGCCCTCTCTGCTGGAGAACACTCTGGTAGGAGCACCAGAACAGCATACTTTGCCCAAATACTCTTAATCTGTTTGCCCCAGTGGAGATCTTGGCCTGCATTCTGTAACATTAAAACAGATCATGCTGCTAAGAGCACAGTGGATGGCAGCCCACGGCTTGCTTCTGACAACAGGGCTGGTTGGTACCTGTGAGCTGACAGAGCTGTAACACAAGTCTGACCTCAGTGTTTTTTTGGAAGAGAACCATGTATTGTTTTCTCTTGGCTTTTCTATGCAATCCCTCATTCTCCCTCCCTTCGTCTGGAAATCCCTTCTCCTGCCAACAGGAGCCAGAGGAATGTGCTGTTTGTTTACCTTCTCGCTCCTTCATCCCACCCCCCAGTTGTAATCCTAACAGGCTCAGCTCTTCATCCTTCTGACAGGGTACTACTCCGCTGAGTATTTTCAGATGAAAGGATTGCTGCAAGAATCAGCATCTGTGCTGTGGGGGTGAGGTTGTGGCATTTTTCAAGGCCAGGGCTGTCCTCTTGCCTGTCCCTGTGCCCTGGCTGGCAGCTGCTTCACTCAGCATCACTCCATGTCACTCTTCCTTTTTCCAGCATTCCCCTGTGTGGTTTTGCCCTTTTGGGGTGATAAGCAAGGAGTCTCTTTGTACCCTCTTCTCACAGTTGCCCTACTGCATGATCTGAAGGAAAACTTCCACTTCTCTCCCACCAGCATTGAGATCTTCGAGCCTGACCTGCTACTGCTCTCTCAGACTGCTGAACTCCATTATTCTGCCCCCTTTCCACAGTTTTGGCTCTGTAAAAACACCTCTGTAAGGCGTTTGTTATTTCTAAAGCCGTCTGAATTTCTTGGATGAAGATGTTTAAACTGCTTAGAAAAAAAATCCCACACACTTAGTGTAGTTGATGCAGTTGCTAAAGGTGGAAGTGTGTTTTCTAGACTTCTACTGTGCTGCCATCCCTGGTTAGAGAAGCCCTTAAAGCTCACTGTTTCCACAGGGTTTTATAATAATCCAAGTGAGGAAATCCTGTGTTTACAGCACTTACAAAAATTGCCATTTTGAGACTGTCCCCTCTTTGATCTATTCACATACTTTGCCTTATCTGACTTTAGCTGATTGGCAAGGATTATAAATCCCTTAAGCAGGGACTGTCCTTCCCTTTGTTTTGCAGCCTGGACGCTGTCAGGACTTTCCTGGGTATATTTTTATGTATAGCTTGAATTTTATGCTGTCCTGCTGGAATACTTTATAGCGGGTCTGTGATTGGGAAGGAAGAAGTTTGTGCACTCAACGCTTCCTAGACACTTCTTGCACTAACGCTTCCTTAACACCCCTTTGTAGCACCTAATAGCTTACCCCACTGTTGTATTTTTTTATACCATCCCTCACATCTTTGGGTAAA